TGCTGTATTTTTATAAAATTTAAAACAGTCCATTAAAAAACTATTCTTTTAAATCCATCTGGCCCGTTAACTGTCCACAGCCAACATTCTTAACTCCCTTTAGCTGTTTTCCAAAAATTAAACATTTTCTTTTTCATCTTTAAATTTACTTAAATCTTCTTTCTCCCAGCATAGAAGGAAATTCTACCAGTGTACAGCAACTTGCCTTTCAGAAGATGTTTAATTTCCAAGTAAATCGCTAATAAGTAATTTCCGATGTTAATTAAAAGAGGAAGTGAAAGTAAATCTAGTGTCTCTTTAGAGGCTCCAAACTGCAGCTTGGGCTCGATGTTTCCCACGACTCCCAGAGTGCTCAACCTGCTGGAGATCGCTAAATTGTGATCTCTTCACAGGGATCCTCTGTAAGGAGTACTTGTGGGTGATCCGGTCATCTCCTTTGTCCAGAGATGGTTCTGAAGAGCCGGACTTTTTGTTGGCTCCTCTTAACTGCCATAGTCCTTGGCTCTGTGAAAACAGCCGTCTTCAATCCTCCATTACTCCCCTGGAAGTTCGCTATTGTTTTCTTTCTATAGCATTTTTGTTTCCCTTTTTAAAATAAAACCCCTACTGTTTTTGTCTTTCTGCTATATCACTTTATTTCCTACTATTGGGTATGGAATTAGATTTAGTGCCTGTATGCATGCTAAATTTATCCTACTTCAGTGAGATTAGGATTCTAATTCATTTCTAATTAGAATGTTAGATTGTTTTTTGTTACCATCCATCCCTTTCATTTTGGTCTCTCATCTTAATATTTATTTATTTATTTATTTATCATATTTATATAGCCGCCTATCTCACACAAGGCGGCTCTATTTATTCAACTTAGAAGGCTACTCAACTCTTTAAGCCTCTGAGTATTGCATAACATTAAAAAAATAGGAAGAACTTGGGTCCAAATACACAGTTCTTGAGCTAATGCAGCCTCTTCTTCTCCAGCTCCCTCCTGCTACACCTTGGCCCATAGCTCTGAATTGCTCCTCTTTGCCAGCTGGTGGAAAACAGCTGTGCTACAATGTCTAACATCCCATTGTCTAGCAGTGCAGTCCAGGGGCAGCAATGGCATTGGAAGAGCTGTTTCTTAACATTTACCAGCACACCTCTGACCTTGGGAGTTCAGGGGTGTGCAGGGGCCAGCATCAGTCCAATGTACTCTCCTCAGTGAAAAAAAAGATCAGCCAAATCTCTTGATGCACACAGAGCAAAGGTCATCAGGAGACAGGCACTAAATGATCCACCAATGGAGCCAGGGATGCAACATTCACAACGAAGCACCCACACCAAGGGCCATTGCAGAAACCTCCACAGTGTCCAGGCCATGCTGGGCCACAAGCTGAGATGGAAACCATGTTGTGCTGAGCTGCACCAGCCTCACTGTTAGCTCCTCAATCTTGATATCCATCAGGATGGTGGCCTTCCCTGCAGCTCAGCTGGGACAGGGCTGTGGCTGCTGAGGCTTTTAGAGCTTCCGGGGGTTCAGTTCAGCCCCAACAATTCTTGAACTTCTGGCAACAAACAGTATGGCCCAACTTCAAACAACCTCAGTCCCCTCATCCCAGAGCATTCTTCAGATACCATCTTGAATGGACAATCCAAAAAGAACATGAAAACAAGTAAGATTTAGAGATCTCACCTGATACAAAGGAACTTGTTCCTTAGTGACTGCAAAAATTAACAGAATGTTGTTTTGCACAATCTTCTCTATCAATTGTCCTAATGTTGGATATTCCTGAGAAAAACAAAAAGGAAAATCAATCTTAACAGAGATGTGTCAGCTTTAAATTTGAAAAGAACTTATGGGGAAGGCATGGTTCACCCTTGGAGAGTGCCAGATGAAAGACTAACCTATTGGGTGCAGATAGGGTAAAGCAGGTTAATCAAAGCATAGATCCTCCTTAATGCCTTCTTTTGCCTTGGTAGGAGGAAGATAATATTAGCCCTGGAATTAGACAAAGGCTAGTCTACCTTTATGGAAAATGTAGTTCATGTTTAAGAGAAGCAGAAGCTAATCCCTTTGGTAAGCACACTGAGATTTCTATTGATGAAGAAAAAGATGCTCCTTCATCTTCATATGTCTCAAAGCTTCCTACAGGGTTTTATTCTGAGGGAGTGTTGACATCAGGGCTCCTGGGAGCCAGCCCTCTTGATGGTACCCCACCCTGTAGAGTAGCCAGCCTTCAGGGATAAGGATGGCCCTCATCCCTATCAGGGTTCTGGAGAGCAATGAAGACTTGGATATTTGGGGGGGGGTGTGTGTGTAGGAATGGAATAGAAACTTGATTATTGCTCCTGAGGAAGTGACACCTTGTGGTGGGATAAGACTGAACAAGTCGGTGATTTTTTGGTGATGTTTTTGTTCTGTTACATTTTGTATATTTTAACTTTCATACTATATGGAATTAAGAGGCTGATGGGAGTGACATGGAAGCTTAACAAATAAATAAATACAGCTGTTTAGCTAGAAGGGCAGGGAGCAAGACCTCATTTGGAGTTCATCTGCTTCAGCTACACAAAATCATGAAACCAAGGGGATGGAATTGAGGAAAGGGCCCATTCAGCACTTTCACACTGCCTTGAATAGTTTAAAAGCTAAACATTGGCCAGGAATTTGGGTGCTCATCCAAAAAGACTGTGTGAAGGAAAGTTCCTCCACCACACTCTGATAAGCATCCACAGTGGAGCAAGGAATGACTTATGTTAAGGGATGTTCAACAAGCAAATAACCTGTGTTTTAAAAACATACTTATTCTTTAAAACCCTGAGAAACTCATTGAGGAGTGGAGCTTGTATGCAAATGGATATGTGTTGAAGAATCACAAAAGTAGAGCAAGAAATACAGTATAGGACATCCCTAACCTTAAGAATACAGGAATGGATCTACAAGCCTTCTCAATTTGGAATAACAAGATGATGCTTTTTAAATAGATTTGGGATTCCTCATATTTAGAAAGTTAACGTCCCTGTGGTGGTAAAAGACTATTGCTTTCCATTCTCCTGAGGTAGAGTAAGATAGTTTTCAAACAGATTTCCCCAACCCTACGTGAAATAAAATTCTCTGGTAAAAAGGTAATTTTATTCTAATTCAGCTGAAAATTGCCTTGTATAAATTATACTTTCTACATTCATTTTAGAATACTTTAAAAAGCAATCATGCATGGAGTTATATAAATGTAACTTGTAACACTATTAAAAGTACAAGATTGGAGAATGGGAGAGGATTGAATAAATTAGAAGTAATTACCAAAACAGTTGACATGGAATATTCATTCTGTTTATCCAAGTGGCATTTTCCATCATTTGGAATAACTATTCCTGCTAATTTGCTATCCATCCCAAAATGAGAATCAGCATCACTCACAAACACTAAAAGATGTAATGAATCATTCCTCCAGCCAATTTTTTCCTGGAATAAAAACATTAATCGGTGATGACAGGGAATATAACAGAAAGCAGTATATACAATGTTTCAGTATCATATGTAGAAATATGATTTATCTTGTTTCGGTGATTAAAAGCATGCCAAGGCCTACTATATAAAAGGATGACAATTAGTATTGGATCGAACTATCAGAGGCATGCCATAAGATTTTGCTGCCAGAGGTGAAGCAATAAATACCACTTCTCAGTAAAAGTGCAGAGCAATTAAGGTCAACCATATTATCTGAGTACCTGAGGTAGAATATAATAAATTATATATATAATCAACAATTTAGAACATTATTTATTGGCTTTAGAAGGCTGCCCAACTCTGTAAGACTCTGGGTAGTGTACAGCATTAAGAGAAAATAGGAAAAACACAATTCACATAATTGGAAAAGGCAATTCTTCAAACAGATGAAATTCTATAGGGAGTTTAACACCCACCCTAACCCAAGGGCTGGGGGAACAGTCAGGTTTTTAAAGACTTCTTGAACATTGTCAAGTACTTTCATATGGGATGTTCTGATCTAAGGTGAAGCCAGCAATAACATAGCTTTGATTTATCCCAAATAAACATGTAACACAGATACAGTTTCTTTACCTTACAAACAGTTGCCTGCATAATTGCATCAAATCCTCCTTCTGGAGTATCTAAATTTGCACTGATTTTCTGTTTTTTCACAATTGCATTGAATCTTTCTGCATCGTTTGTCAACGAGAGAACATGCTTGTATCCAAATGTTGGCAAACAATCATGTGGGATTTTTCTGTAAAGTAAAATGCTTATGTACTTATAAATAATGATGGAGGTCAACTAAAAAGCTTTAGGGTTGGGGTGCATGCAGTATGGCCCTTTAGTATTTTCAATATTCAACAGTATGATCTTTAAGTGGATTATAGTGGATGGTGGATATCTCCCTGAAGATGTGTGTGTAGTACATAGCAGCTGATTGATGGGGTTTTGAACCCACTATTCCTAGAACAACTGATTATTTATGAAAGCTCTAAAGTAAAGCACAATTTACAGAACATTTATAGATGGGTGAGGAGCATAATTGCAGAGAAGCCACTACTTCTTAAGATATGCCAGTTCATCCTGGCCACATCAGAAAGTGGAAAGTAGTTTCCTGTTTACTGAGATCAGTGGGAAGATAATTAACCAGGGTAGTTCTGCAGTTGGTATAATTCTTGTTGTAGTTTTGAGTATGTTGAGGAATTAAGGAAATCTTGTTAGTCCATGGACTCTATCACTTTCCGGAATGCCCCATCACATGTTCCACCAGTGGAGTTTCCCAACACCTCATGCAGTAGCTTTCTGCTACATCTGATAAGCAGAAAGTAAGGAAGGACCAGAATGATTAAAGCAGGACTAGAGAACCCATAAGGTCTCTATATCTGACCTACCAAAGCTTCCTGCAATTGTGAAGTTTGGGAAAGGATAATGAAAGGCGGAGTGTTGCCTTGAAGTAGGCTTTTAAAATTCTCTGTGAATCATGCAAAGTCAGAAGCTGCTGCTGTTGGTGCTTGTGCCTTGAAGTGGTAGTTGCTTAAAACTATCCTTCCTTCCTTCCTTCCTTCCTTCCTTCCTTCCTTCCTTCCTTCCTTCCTTCTCAGTGGCTCCCAAGCAGTGGAAAATACAGTAATATCATATTCATAATGGAATAATCACACCATAAAAGCATACACCAAAATCATCAAAATATATTACCCATAATAAATCAACCCTAACCATACATAATCAGTGCACAATCCAATGGGTGCTACAAAGAACGGCTAAGAGAGAGTTGATTTAGAGTGCATTGTTTATGTGCGTGAGAATGAATGAGTGGTGGTCGGGGTCTGAGTGCATGTGTGTGAATGAAAGGGCTGCTGGGGGTGACTTCTCACTTTCAGCAGCCCCTGACCTGTTTCCTGGGGGGAAAAAAAATCCACTGCCCCTGTATTGAAGCAATTAATTCATCAAACCACATTTAAGGAGAAACATCCCACTTAGATTTCATGAAAATGTTTCTAGGAAGACAGAAGAAATATTTGAACTTTGCTACCAACCGGCAAGGATTTTGTAAATCTTCTGTCAGGGTACTGATGAATGGTAAAACTGGTTTTTCATCAAAAGACCCAAAGCCCATCTGAAAGTTACTTGTGAGCTTCGACATTTCTTTTGACAGGGTAGACCCCAGTTCCTTTATGGTATTCAGATCATCATCCATAGAAGCTGAAATGTCCATGAGGTAGTAGAGGTCAACTGGATAATCTTCAGTCTGACGAACATTGATCTGTATTGTTTCTTCATTTCCTTGTGGAGCCGCAAGGAAAACAGAAAACAAATCAAACAGCTGTGGTTAAAAAGAGGAAGAGGAAATACAAGTATTGACTGGTCCTCTTTATTCTCCATGCTATATGGTATTATTCTGTGACAAAGTATATCTCAGCAGTAGCAGTAGCTCTTTTAATAATTAATTGTCTGATATGGATAGTGAAAAATATATACAAAGTATAATTGCAAAATGTGCTTTATAGACAGACTACTACAAGAAACAACAAAGTAAAAGTTGGAATGCCTAGTTCAATGTAAAATATTAGTTTCCCCATCCCATTGACCAGGAAAACTTTCTTAGCTGAAAAGGCAGTCATTGCCATCCTTCCTGTAGGATCATCAGAAGCCTTGTTTTGTTACTGATATTTTTCCTCTGGCTCTGAGGAGGTGTGGAGCCCCCTTTGAAGCAAACCTAAAATCAACAGCGTGGGATGCTTTGAAGCTTTGCATCCTCACATGCCATTCACTCTCTCTCTCTCTCTGTGTATTCATTCGTTCATTCTGGAGGTTCGCATACCTCCAGAAAATGAGACGGCAGAGAATTCCACCCAGCCTCATGCTGTTTTGCCAAAACAACTCTGTCAAGCATGGCATCAAGCCTGTGGCAGTCAATGCACATAAAAGGAAAAAGAAAATTGGAAGCACACATTACAGTAAGGTTTGGGCTACCTGAGATCATATATCCACTCATTCAAAAACTACACTTCAAGATGCCACAGAACTGCATTTGGCCTAATGCTTTATGTTATTGGCAATGTCCGTTGTCACTAACAGCTAATATATATTAACATAAATAAGGAATCAGGGTTGTGCATTCCACAATAATCTTTGTGCCACTTCATATCTGTCATCCACATCTCCAGGAGAACATCAGAAATATATACATTCTTTCAGGCCTGTGGGTCCCACATGAACCTTGAGCACAGGAGCATCTGCGGTGAACTGTTATGACCCAAGAATGTCAATGCACAGATGATATCATCATGCAGTCCCATTCTTACATCTTTGTGTCCTGATGCAAGTACCTAAGTTGTCAAAGTTGCACAATGTCATCATGCACTTGTCATCATTTGCCCCCATGCCTCCCCCCTTCCCCAGTGGATGCCCATGTCTGAATGATGGGCTAAGGGACCATATTTGAAAAACTAGTGGGTGAGGCCAGAACAAAAATCTACGTTTAATTTCAAACTATTTCATGTGTTTCATTTAAATATCAATGTACACATGATTCATTTATATTACATATATAATATATATGCATATATTTAATGTTAAACAACTTAAATATTAGCTTTGAACTTCTTAAATTAATATTCTAATATGAATCATATTTAAAACAAATGTTTTCCAGTCATGTAGTTAATAATTTCCTCCCTGTAGCACATAAAAAAATTACACTGTGGTAGCAGCTTCTAAATGTTGCTGGAATGGAGCTGGTAGGGAACTCAGGCCTTTGATGGCCTCAGGGACCATCTTTGCTTTATTAAATCCAGACCTTGTTCTATGTTCCTTTCTACCCCCACTGGCTCTCAGTGCTCTGGGGCTTCCATACTCAATTGTGCCTCATGATCAGACTTCTTGAACAACCATCACGACTGGAAATGATTAATCCAAGGAATAAGCATCCCTGAGCTCAGATTAGCAAGATTTCTTGTGGGTTAGAGCGATAACATGAGGATTCCAGTGAGTCCCTTTACTTTCAAATAAGAAATCCATATATCCTGTTCAAGACAGCCAGTTTGGTATAGTGGTTAAAAGCACCAGGTTAAAAACCGGGAGATGGTAAGTTCTAGTCCTGCCTTGGGCACGAAGCTAACTGGGTGACTTTGGGCCAATCACTCTCTCTCAGCCCTAGGAAGGAGGCAATGGCAAACCACTTCCAAAACCTTGCCAAGAAAACTGCAGAGATTTGCCCAGGAGTCAAAATTGACTGGAAGTCAGACACGCACACACACACACGCACATACAGACACATCCTGTTCCCGTATGGTAGGATTGTAAATCACTCAATCAGTCATTGATTGGAGCAGCAAACATGCCTTGTAAAACAAATAATCAGTAATAATACAGAAAATTCAAATCAGCTAGCGTCTCATTTTCTTTTCCTACTCTTTTGACACAAGGGAGAGGTTGATTGCCTCTTTTGAGAAGGAGCCCGTATCTGCAAATAGTTTTGGAAATGGCTGTTAGTCTCCTCATCATTGTGTGAACCAGCTGTCATGCTAACAAAGAAATCATGTGGTTTAAACCTGAAGCAGTAACAAAATCCACAAAGGAAATTTGAGCTAAATACACAACCTTCACTTCTGAAGTGTTTGAGCAGCCTTTTACAGCTTGGGGTTTTCCAGAGTAAAAGGAAAGTTGTCTTCAAATTGAATGCAATTTCTGGTGATTAAACAGATGTAATCATGCAGTTTTCTTGGACTGCATTCTCAAATGTTGCGCTGGCTGGATTATAAGAATTGAAGTCCAGCATATCAGACTCCTATGAAGGATATCAGTTTAGAAACTAAGATTTTAAGACTTTTAATTTTAATTTAGAAATAGTAAATAAAACGTCGTGATATTGGTCAATCCATTCCCATTATAATGGTGCAGATAATTTAAAGGCACACTTGACTCTGTTATATGTTTGAATGTTTAAATGTTTGAAAGGAGAATTTACAACACTGAAGAAGAAAATCAAATTGGAATGAAGGGAACAATAATAATTCCTACTGAAGCCAATATATCACAAAATTGAAGGTTTTTAATCATTTCCAGTAACAATCAGGGGACAAAAACCTATTTTGTAACAAGGCAGACATTGCAAGTTTTAGTAAGTTGTTTCTTAAGATAGCCTGAGTGTTATACTAAAAATTATTTATTTGTTTCAACACGTTTGGGTCACCCAAACCAAACTGAAGTTATTTGAGTGGATGTACAAATAAATTAATATGTTAAAGCACAAACCAGTAATGAACAGAACTAATAAAACTCAGATAAAACCAATGCAGCACATAAGATCAAAGGAAAAGTGGCAGCAAAATAAAACGGGTTAAGATCTAAAAGTATTACAAATGTCTTTTAAATGTCTGGAACAAGAAAATGGTTTTTATTTAGCACTAAAAAGGCCATAACATAAATGCCAGCTGAGCAATTATTTTAAACTTGTTTTAAAGTGTATCCTTTTATTGTATTAGAAATTCTGCTTCACATGTTTGGCTGATCATGTGGGGAATTCCCTGGGCCTGAATAAAATAATCCCAGACTGCATGGGATTAGTAGCCATGCCTTTAGAATAACATCCAAAGGATCCAAAAATTTTTTTTAATAAATATAGAAACTAGATTACTAATTTATATGCTATATAATATAGAGAAAATTGGGAAATAGTTTTAACAATGTGTGATAACATGCTTACCCCAGTTTAATTATGAGCTTCTCCCCTGAATTTAATCATTCATGGATTAGAGATTATCATAATATTCAATTGCCATACTGTGATTTTGACCAACTGCAGAAGAAACCAGAGAGGGAGATTCACACAAAGCAGAGGTTTCTTTTTGGACTTGTTCTGGCTAAAAGAAACCATCTTGCCATATTCAGGTGGCATAGTAGCCTCAAACTCTAAATGTGTGCTGTTTCGCTATGCTACTTGGGGGAGGGTAGAAATGCCATGTTGCCATGTCATATGGACACACACTATGTCCCCATGTGTTCCTGTTACCAATCTTTTTAATATAGTCAATAATGTAAAATAATAAGATATATAAACAATAATTTAGAAAAGTATTTCTTCTTCTTCTTCTTCTTCTTCTTCTTCTTCTTCTTCTTCTTCTTCTTCTTCTTCTTCTTCTTCTTCTTCTTCTTCTTCTTCT